CAAATCGTTCAGCTCCGTTTTCATTCATTCAGTGACCCCTTGGACCCATTGGAAGAGCTCACTCCCATCAGGACAGGATAAAGAGGATTACTCAACAACTTTGCAATAATTTGCAGCGATCCCTCCCTTTAAAGGAGACAACTGGGCCCAAAATACTTCAGCATATGTCCCCCACAGTGTAACAGAGCTACTGGATCCTCTCACTGTAGGGCTAGAGGATTCAGGATTTTCCTTTAATGTTTCACCCATGTGTGCGCACCACCTACTCAACAGTAGGAGCCAGAAAAAAGTGTGGCAAGAGAGTTTGTGGCTTTTAGTGACCCTTGCCTCTGCGGAGACTGAAGTTACCTCACTCTAGTCTAGTGCAATGAGAGTGAGCACATCTGTAAACGTTGCAACAACAACAAAAAAAAAAAAACAGGAAAAAATGTCCATTACGTCAGATTTTGTGATTGCATAATCCCTCTCACTACCACTGACTCAGACAGCAGTGACAAAATCACTCCCCTGGGGTGCAGGAGAACTCATGTGGCAAAGGTCTTATTAAAAACCGAACAAACTACATTTTTCTTTGGGATTTGCCCCTTTCAGAAGTTAAACACGTTTTTGAAGACGAGTGTAACTGAGACACCCATTTAGAAAGGTACACCCCAAACTCAAACAACTTCCGCAACGGCTTAGTGTACACTGTTCAGTCCCTCCAACTGTCGACATTATGAAATACAAACAGAGAAACACGTTTGTTTTGTTGTAAAACCTACAAGTATTACACAAATAACCTGTTTTATAAACCAAAAGCTACAAATACAGGTTAGAACTTTATTAGGATTTACGTTAGTTGCCATGGAATTCAGGGTTCAATCATCTTTACGACTTCTCTTGTAAAACGATGAAAGTTAGCGCAAGAACAAAAACCCCAAATTGACACAACTCGGCTTCCTTCGACTATCGAACATATTTTACGTTTGTTGAATAAGTTACATACAGTATATTTTGGTGTAAAGTAGTTGACAGAGAGAAGAGCTGCTTACCTTTCGGGTCGCTTTTCAGTTTGAGAACATATCCATCTTCCTAGTCTACAGCGCCTGCGCATGCATACGTCAAGCAAGCCATCAGCCAATGAGAAAGCTGGAAATTACAAAAGGACCCGCCTCCGACGTCAAATAGTAAACAAAGCGTTCAGTGATGCATACTGAATATTGTTCAGGGTTCTCATCTGTCAGTGCAAAAACAAATGAACAGACATTGAATATATTTTATTTAATTAATGAAATCTGTACATATTGCAATAATATCTTGTTGGTTCCTGGCAAACATTGGTTTTGTCTGTTGATTGGTGGGATCTGTAAATTCAGTCTCTTATAAATTATAACAAACCATTTCCAAAACCTTAGAAAATGTAGTAGTTTCTTGCATTCTGGTAAAATTTTGAGTTCCAATTTGTGCCATTTCTGAATTCATTTGTAGTCAGAACACCTTCACCAGGTGACACTTCCAAGTGTAATGGAATATAAAGCAGTAAGGTTTTCAGGCATTCTGTAGTAGTAAATAGGTACTTGCCTGTTGATCAAAATGTCTCACTTTATAGATTATCTGTTAGCTAGCTGTTATGCAAAAAAAAAAAATAAATAATAAAAATGCCCTTTGCTTCTTTAATGTTTTAATTGCAGGGAACAACTTTGTTCTCAGTATTGAGGGGGAAGCATCCTCTGCATCACATACGAAATTGGTCCCTTAGACAGCTTATTATTTGGGCAGTTCCATACCACTGTGTACTGTATAGGTCCACCTGACAGTATATACAGACAGTTGGGTTTGACTCCTGTCTTCCTGTGGTCTAATTCAAATTAGATGTTGTTGAGGTAAATTCAGACTTCGATTAAGAGATTTTCAGAATCCACTAAGACAAGGCCCACAATTTTCCTTAGACGATTCTGAACAGAGGTTGATCCTGAGCATTTACATGGTAAAGAGTTTACACGAATGAATTTTTTTCTAATTTACTTCATGATGTTTCAGAGAATGATTTTTTCAATCTGATATTTGATGACTATGACAAACTGCAAAAACTTCTTGCTTAACAATCACCCTTTCCTTACAACTTTATTGTTATAATCTTTATTCATCAATAGATAAAATTTCAATATTTCAGAAATGATAACTTGTTTGGCCCAGCAGAGGGCATCACTGCACTGCACTGCACACAGCTTCAATAAACAAACTATGGACTATAAAATGTCCATATTTTCAAAATATGAAACTAAACCTAAAAGGTTTAGTTTCAGAAATATTCTCCTTTTAAATCTGCACTAAAATATGAACTTGCTCTAAAGTAAACAAAAACACATTATATGCTGTTTTAATGATAAGTATTATTTTGCTCTCTATTATTTCAATAGACATATATGAATAAAATGCAGTAATCAGCAATCTATAAATCAAATGTTAAATACTCACAAAGTTGGACAGTTGTATTGACATAGTCTTTTATTTAACGTTACAAACATATTGGATGCATTAAACTTCTGTAATGGACAAACCATAATAAAAGCTTTGCTTGTATTTGCAAGTATAGATATTGATCTCAAAGAATACAGTTTACTAATCTGAGGAGACGATCATGTTACATGTAAATTCTTTTTGTCCAAACAGTATTTAATTTAATACCTGACAGAAAAAAAAAATAACAACAAAATATTTCTCATAAGACTTAAAGCTTAGAATAAATATCTGCTATCAGTTTCAATATTTTCCATGGAATTATTGTCTTACAGGTTTTTTCCTCTGGGCTTCTTTAATAAAACATGGTGGGAAAAAAGTGAGCAACCACGAAGTAGATGTTGCCTCCATGACATAATTTAAGATGTTTCTTTTACATTCAGGCCCCAGTGATGGCCAGCCTTACTGCCTATTTAAGGAGACCCATAGCTTTACAACAGAAACTCTGCCTTCAAAACTGCTCTGCATCTGCTCACAGCTCTCTCCCCGATGTTTCCACACTCCACCATACAGAGCCTCGAAATGTTTAGGCCCTTTTCTCTAAATAAGGCAGCCTTATCGTAGTTCCTGTCATTTCTGTCTTTTCCCCAAACATCCCGAGCAGCGTCTGTGGCAGTAGCAAGCTGCAGCCCATGCATTCTTTTGCCTTGTATGGAGAAATGGCCTGGCCTGGGATGTCTTTGTATGGGACAGGCTGGTCTCTCCATTGGACGGTGCAAAAATGGGAGGGACAAACTAGCAGTCTGATTCTTCAGGCAAACTTTTCAGTAGGACTGGCTGCCTCCCTTCCCACTGCTGTGTCGGAACCAGACAAAAGGAGTTTGAAGTACTCCCAAATATTTCTACCTGAAGCCAAGGTGAGAATGAAAGCTGTTTTTAACACTGGATTGCACAGTTAGAGTGCACACTGCTTAAAGCTAAAGCTCTTATTTGATGTGTTTTAAGTGGATGGGAGGCGTTCATTCTCTGGGTTCAGTGGTACAATACTCAACTGTCAGTGCTGAGAGAGAAGGGAAGGATAGAGTTGCAGAGAGCTTCTGAAGTGGATCTTTGATTAAAGGTGTTAGATGAGCCAAAATAGAGTTGTTCATGTGTTGATTAAGCTAAAGAGAAACCTGTAGAGGATGTTCACCTTGGACCTGTATGTGTTTCAACAGTGTAAATCTACTGTGTGCGTGTGTGTTTACTTCTATCTCATCACTATGGCACATTAAACAGAGGAATTTCTGAATGCTGGTGACCCATTTAGACCTGTCTCGCTGACACACTTTTAAACGCACACAGACACACACATACATAGACATCTGATGCTGTCTTTTTATAGGCAATGAGAGCTTACATTCCTCTTCCTTCTGTTTGGTTTTGGAATACCTGACCGTTGGCCTCTCAGTCTTCACTTCGGTAGTACTGACCTACATGACCTGCAGTTGGAGTGAGGGATGACAGCCTGACTGTTTGGGGATATCAAAATGTGTGTGTGTGTGTTCTTGTTGGACAGAAGGACAGAGGAGCTTTTTCATTCCTTAGTGGATAAAAGGGTCCATAGAGGAGCTGCGGCAACCAGAGAACAAATGCAATTGTCAGTACAAGCCAAGCTGAGACGCGTCACCCGAATGCTTACGTTGCTGGGGTCAAAAATAGTTGTTCTCATCCTCTTTGTGAATCATTGTTGATTCACTCTGCACAGAATGTAGATTTTAGCATTTGCTACAGCATCAGACTCAGTGGGGACTGGAAATCAGGTTTTCTTTTCTTGCACCTTGATAACGTAAGTTCTGGAATAATCTCATATTTAAAGAATCTTTCAGAAGTCCGGACTGATCTAACTTTAAACAGACATGTTGAGCTTAACACCAGTTAACTGCTTTCATGACAGAGCCAAACAAGAATGCACAATAGAGATAACAAAATTCCAGTGTTCTCAAATTTGACTGTTTGCATTGGAGCCACTTCAGTTGGACAAATTCTCATACAGTCGCACAATTGTAAACTGCTGCTAGTGGCTGCATAAGGAAAATGTGCTGTATTGTAAGACGACTTTATCATGTAGGCGGGAGAGAGAAGCCCTAATCAGATTGAGGAATTCCTCTGTTCCTGAAACCTTAAAGTGGAACGAGACAGTTTTGTTTCCAGCTTCCTCAGTGACTGAGAGAGAGAGAATGAAAAGGCTTTAGGCCAACGGCACACACCTTCCAAATTTCTTCATTTTTCTGGCACATGAAGGGACCGAGGCAGCCAAACAGTAGCCAAATGAAAGGAAAGGGTGTGCCAAAATGTGTCTGTGGTGACTGAAAGAATGAGAGAAACTGTGTGTTTGCAAAAGGTACATGAATTTCCTTCCTGTACCTTTTATACTAAGAACCCAAACATGTCTTTGAGTAAATACTTCTGTTGACAATCAAACTATCCGTTAAGATTAGAATCTCTGACTAAACCTAGGCCAGCTACGTGGATTTGCATTAGCAATAAAAGTTAGAATTCTATCATAGCGATACAGCTGCATTCATTTGTATAGAACTCAACGGAGGAACAAACTTTATGTTCAGGAAAAAAAGAGATAAAGGACCATGAGGATAGACAAACCTGCCTTCACTAGCTCTCTGTGAGGCCTTTGTGAATCATACAGGCAGCAGCAGACACAGAAATTTAGGGCTGCTCCAGCCCATTAAATATGATGACAGACACAGTTACACAGACAGTGCCCTTTGAGAAAGAGATTTAGAAAATATGGGACAGCAAAGCGCTATTTATAAGTTGTTGCGATACATGTTTATATGACCAGCATTGTAGTGTGCAAGGCAATTCTTACATGCACCGTGTATTTTGTACTATTTAATAAATAAATTCAATGTACTTCTTTAATCACTGGGTGTTATATTTAAAGATATGACACTACGCAAATGGAAAAATCCAGATGCGAATATTGACAGATTTCTGTGAGGAGAGATTCAGAATATATATACACACAGACAGAAGTGTGTTTGTCCTGTTGAGAGATGGCATTTTGACTTTCAAGGAGAACATTAAACATTAGAAACTGATAAAGAGAGAAAAACGCATTGTAAAAAAAGAGTGCAGTCTTGTTTCAGTGAATGAGTTGTCAGCATCATGCAGTGTTCACATCGCCTTAGTGCCTCCTCTCGGGACATGATGTCATACTTCTGTGTGACTCATCAGCCACATTCACCTGCTCCCTCCTGAGTAAACCAGAGTGTCTCTCTGTCCTCTGCCTGCTGTTGCCCAATTGCCCTCGGGGTAAAGCACAATCAAAGAACGGTGTATCCCTAACCCTAATTCTAACCTTAATTCTAAAACCAAGTCTTCACCCTCAAATTGCCCTCTAAAGTTGTGAGAACCAGCCTCACAAACTGTGTATTGTCCTCGCGACATTGGCTGTGTCTCAGAATTGGTCCTCACCAAGATAGCAAAGCAAATCCGCACACACACACACACACACACACGAATAAGAAATCCTTGCAGACCCGAACATGAGTGACAGGTCTAATTCGGGAAAGATCTGAAGCTAGCTGCAGTGTGCAGCGTGGAGACATGTCATTTTCACACCCATCACAGAACCCAACACTTAGGGAGAATGTGATTCTGTCTCTGGAGGAAGTGAGAGAAAAAGATTCACCTGCATGGGGCAAGCGAGACAGAAAACTTTTCTACAAGAACGCAGCGCTGCAGGTTCTAGCGCTGTTAAGGCAAAATATAGATCAAATTCGATTCATTTTTAGAGACGAATGCTGACATCAGTATTCGTGTCAAGCTGTGTCAAAAAGCCTTAAACACCAAACGAGCTAAGTCTCTCCTTGATCACAGTGAAACTTCAGCAGTTTCATCTAACCTATAAATATGTGCACAGGTCCACAACCAGCCGCCACCATGTCGAGCAAACGCGCCAAGGGAAAGACCACCAAGAAGCGCCCTCAGAGAGCAACCTCCAATGTGTTTGCCATGTTCGACCAGTCTCAGATCCAGGAGTTCAAAGAGGCGTTCAACATGATCGACCAGAACAGAGACGGATTTATCGACAAGGAGGATCTGCACGACATGCTGGCCTCTCTGGGTAAACAGCTTTGTCTTTGTGTAGATGTGAGGTTCAAAAGCAGAAATGCACCACTCCTTAGAAGGAAGTATATCTTAGTTAACTTTCATTCAATCAGAAGAAGATGTTTTATGTTATTTTTCTATTATCTGCTTTAGAAGAATCAATGTTGTCTTAGTTATCTTAGTTTAGGCTTGGAGACCCAAAAGAAAACCTAAAACAAAACTAGGAGTGGGGCCCTGGAAGACATTAGCATTTATCTGGCATGGAGATGCAATCATGTACGATGGTTCCAAACTGTGTGGAGGTGCAATGCAAAATCACTTTTTAAAAAACCCCAAAACATTTGGCTAGAATAGTTTCTATGCAGACTTTTAGTGAATTCAATGTGTCTTTTTTTTTTTTTTTTTTAACTAAAAACTGAAACAAAAGAAACAAGTAACCTGAATATATGGTGCTTAATATTGGCTGGTTTCAACTGGATGATAACTAATATGTTAAACATTGTTTATTTCACTTAAAGATGCTTCCTAAGCATATGTAGCCCTTCCTTGTATTGTACAGTCCCAGGAGATTGAGATAAAACGATGTCATTCTTCCTCAGGTAAGAACCCGTCTGATGAATACCTGGAGGGGATGATGAGCGAAGCTCCAGGGCCCATTAACTTCACCATGTTCCTCACCATGTTTGGAGAGAGGCTCAACGGAACAGACCCCGAGGACGTCATCCGCAACGCCTTTGCCTGTTTTGATGAGGAGGGATCTGGTGAGTCACCATTAACAATACAGTCACTGCACACTCAGATCACAGTACGTCACACAGTCTGCCGACTGGCTCTTTACCTCTCCGTATCTGTGCCCAAGGTGTGATCCACGAGGACCATCTGAGGGAGCTGCTGACCACCATGGGCGATCGCTTCACGGATGAAGAAGTGGATGAGCTGTTCCGCGAAGCACCCATTGACAAGAAGGGCAACTTCAACTACGCAGAGTTCACCCGCATCCTCAAGCATGGTGCCAAAGACAAGGATGATGAGTAGAGGGAGAAAGCGACCGCCTCTGGCCCCCCCGCACACATACTGCACCACAGATCTACCCCTAGTTCCTATCTTTGTGAATTTTGTAGATTTGAGAAAAAATAAATAGGAATCCATATAGGAATACTCTATATCAAAGTGTTTTTTTCTTTCTTTTTTTTTTTTTAAATAAAAGGGCAGAAATTAATAGTTTTTACATTTATTATGATCCACATGTTTATCAAAGGTAGACTCGGGATTTACAGAAGTGTTCTGCAGTACATACACTACTTTTCAGTTCTTCTCATTTCAAGATTTATCTATACCAAGAAGAGATCACAGTATCTGCATCTCGTGGCTACAAGCCAACTGCGTCCTCATCAACCTTGACTGCAGTTTTTCTGGTATTTGCAGGGAACCTGCTTGGACTTTGGAGATGCATTAAGCACCGATATGTGTGTGTCTGTGTGTACGCGGGGGGCTGTTTGGACTTCCAGATTCAGTGCTACGTACAGTACCAGCCATGTTTACCTCTTCCTGCCAGTTAGCTACCACACCTGCACAAGCACTGCAACATGTCTCCTGCTTTGTAACATTTGTGTCCTTGTATGATGAAAATGGATGGAGTAATTGAAAATTTCAGTGTTTTTTTTTGACAATCAAAAGTGACAAGTATTTTCACACTTGACGAAATGGTAATTAGAATTCGGTAGTCTGAAGTCGTGTCTTCCTCCCCGTCAGCTGGTCGTGTGTTGTTGCTGAAGGTTCAGGTATGTCTGTGTTGTTGAAGGAATTCAGTCTTGGAACTGCTCAGGCAAATAAAGCAAGAGTGGATGTGTTTGAGGTGTTTTTAAGTCATTGTATCATGTCTGCACCAGACCAATGAAATGTAATCTGTCAAACAAGTGTCTCCCATTTAATTCACATGCTCAAAGCACCATCTGGATGTTTTAGCTCTTTGTCCTACGAAGCAGTATGCTGAACTTTACATTAGCCCCAAACATATGAGCACCCACCTGGTTATTTTTTTCTACATATTTCCTTTCAGCTACCTCACCTTGCAATGATACCTAAATAAACATTCACTACCATATAGGGTTGTCATGGTATACCAGTATTGATTTGATATTTTAAAAATTAAATATGTTATCAATACATAATATAGTAAATATCCATCACCAGTAAGTAGCTATCTCGCTGACATTCAGGCAGTACAGATTCAGTGTCAGACTCTCTTTATCGCTCCACACTGGACTAAATCATTTGTCAGAAAAAAGACAAAACACACAAAAAAATCAACACACATCTTGAGAATATTGCTCATTTTTAAGTTAAGTTTATACTCAAATTTCCCTGCTATGAATGGAGCTTTGTGCATACTTTAAAGATGTTTTTCTTTTTTTAATGATTTAAATAATTAATAAAAACATGTTTGGGAATAATGTGTGCACAGTTTGTAGTAAATAAGATAAACCTCCCACAGGAACACTTGCAAGTTCATTTAAATAAATAAATATTCTGTGTCTACTAAGAACTTTCTCAAAACTTTTAAATACTAACAGAGAAAGTTGTCAGATCATTTCTTGGACACATCAGATTCATGACTTCAAGCTTTAAAGCACTTCTTTTCAAATTCTAGACCTTTTTATCTACTCTATTTATCTATCACTAAATGACTATCATGGTAAAAAGAATTTAGGATGGTGATATTGTGATATTTATCGAAATTTTGAAAAATTGCAACAAATTATTCTTTATTTTTTGTGTGCTTTGTCTCTATTTTTAAGAAATAAATTCCACTCAAAAGGCAAGTGTAAGGAAGTGGAGACACTAACTGAACAAATGCATACAAAAAGCATTTACACTTGATGGATGGATAGTAAAATAGAAAAAAGCAGATGAACAGAAAAATATATCATTTACTGAAGCTGGATAATTTGTGTATTATTAAAATATGTCCATCAAAATTTCACATTTTAAAACCCCTTCATACAACACTATATATTCACAATCATCCATCAGCAGTCATCATGCTGATTTGTTTAAAACATTCAAAAACTCTAATTTGCTTTATAGTAATCATGTGTGGTTTGATGTGATTTGATTGGCATTGACTATACAGCCAAATAAGATATCAGATTCTTAATTTGATGTCTGTAGGCAAAGCTCAAATTAAAAGAGAAATAACCAAAACAGTTTCAACTTTGGAAGACAGCTGGTTGACTCACAGTAAGGTGACAGCACAAGTGTTTTCAGGGCCTTCAACACCCTTTGATGATGAGTTTGTGTATTCTCACAAACCCGCTTCCTTTCACACGCAACAAAAAACAGAAGAGAAAGAATTTATAAAAAACTGAACTTTTATTTCTTTGAAATGCTCATACAAAACACACATTAAAGTTTAAGGCGTATATTGCACAGACTATTGAGAAGTTTTTATATAAAAAAGGGACATCGTCCCTCAGTCGTAGTTTTAAGGCACAGCAGCCAGTCATACTGCCAACGATCAGTGATGATTCACAATGTGAACTTGAAACAAAAAAAACAAACAACTTTTTGAATGCATTCAGCTGTAACGAAACTACACAGAGATAAAGTCCATGCCAACAAATAAAAACAAAAGCAAAAAAAAGAAAAAAAACAAAACTTGACCTTGAAAATATTTACAGGCGTCATCACATTGTCTTCTCTGACTGGAGCGTCAGTTTGCATCTAAAACCTAATTGAAACCTTGCCATAAAAAACCTAATCCTTAGCCAGCCATTTCCAGTATCACACCGATAAGGTGTCGTCACAGTGGCACGATGCAGTATGAATAATAATAAAAATATTACTTTAATACTTAGTATTCTACATATGACCCAAGGCTGACACGACCTGTGTGAATTGAGGTATAAATGCACTTCAGTCTACTGAGTACCTGTAACAAAAAAAAATAGTTAAAAATCCAAATCCTCTACTGGCATGCACAAAAAGCAAATGGCAGTGAGGAGGCACAAACAAAATAAAAACAAAAGGAATGTAAAAACAAAAGAACAACAAAATTAAAAAACAAAAAAAATAGGAAAAAAAGACTGTTGGTGTTTTCACATCTGCCACAGACTAGAAAAAGCGGGAAGTTTTTTTGGGAATGATTGTGGTCGTCAGTGCTCAGCAGTATTAGGACCCAACGTCAGTCTCCTTCTGTCTCCTCCGACAACTTGCACATGTAAATTATAACCGTTTAAACTAAACACAGTTCAGTGACACTGGTAAACATGAAGATTCATCTAACGATTCTGCTACAGCATTATTCACATATCAATCCACCTTTTCCCCCATGCACTGCCACTGTTACTAGATGTCCACGTGGCATTCAGTCATATATTGTGGTTTATCCTAACACAGTTTCATGGAAACTACACCTTTATGGATGATTTAAAAATTCTATAGCAACCATTTCTAGACAAAAGTGAAAAGCACAGATGAGAGAAACATTTTTTTTCAGCTCTTATTCAAAAAAAATGAAAGAGAAAGTTAATGACATCAGCTGGTAAGTTTGCTACATTTGCTTTGCCAAGATGCATCTATTACTGTTTTCTACTGTTAAGACATTCAGGTTTGAGAAACAATGACCAAATCCTAAGGCCAGTGTTACATTTTCCACATCTGTGAAGACAACCAGGGTCTGTAGGGGTTTGAGTGTCGTGAATTTCATCATCTAGCCAAGACCATGGGTACCCGTCGGTGGATATCCAGAAACTGGCATTGGTGCAAACACTATATTACAAGACCAGCCATGCACCTGCTGGGTAGTAGTGTGCATAAGCAGAATATGTAGACGCTGATCTGCTGCACATCTGTGGAGTGCCTCCTCCAAAGTGGACGAGAAAGTAGTTGAATTCAGAACCACAATCGAGTTTAAAGTCTGCTTCAAGGCTTGAAATTTAAGGGAATTAAATGCCTCATAAAAGATGCAAGCAGCTGTAAGGGTATGAGATTAACAGATCGCCAAACCCCTCATCTCTGTATGCAACAGAATGCGACCACTGCCTCTTCATCCTATATTCATAGCCCTGTAAGGGTTGAGCAAGGTCACACAGAAAACACTGTTTGTTCAAATATAGAATGGAACTGGCAAACAAAGAAACACATGGTGCTTGAGAGCATGTATAGAGCAGTTGAGATGACAGTTCATGAGGGCCAGTCCCCTCATGCTCTTAGCTATAAAAGACAGAAGGATAGGAGGAGAGCGCTACAGACACACACACTGAAGTGTCTCATTTAGTCTGGATCGCTGCAGTATAATCAATATCCTTCTGCTCAGCTCCACTACAGAAAAAGGGAAGGGGGAGGGAAATGTACCATAGTAAAGAACAGACTCAATTATGTTAAAAAATTCTTCTGAATTGCACAGCTATAGAGGACTGAAGTCGTTGCTGTACAGATGGGGGGAAAAAAAAAACACTCATGTCCTCCTTTTTGATCGTGGAGGGGAAAGGATTACAGGCTGGCTAGCCAATGATATCAATCAATGTCTTTTGTACATTCAATAAAGTTCAGTACTGCTACTGAAGAGGCCAACTTCGCTGGTGCTGATAATTACACCATTTGACATTTTGTACAATCATGGGATATATTCCTCCGCACTCAAAATTGAAATGTGGAAAGGGGTTTGAAAATGGCATCAAAAACTTTCTACAAACATTTACTTTGCACTGAGGAATGTTCACTTTGAGAAACGACATCAAAGCGTCGTCAAAGCAACAGCTTCCATCGAAAACACCATATTCAGCAATAAAAGTTCTCAAAAAGTGTTTAAAGCAACGCGTCTGTTACTTTACTTTGTCCCAGTTTGCACATTTCACTCACTGCTGTAAAATATGCAGGCTCAGGCTTAATGTCAAAGGGAACTGGTGGTGAAGATACATTCTTCTGTATACAGCTTTGTCCAGCCTAAGTGAGCGCCTGGACTTACTCCTGCCCAGATGTGTAAAAAGCAGCTGCAGCTCTTAGTTAACGGTTTCACTCACTGAGCGCAAGCTGTGTTGTGCGCCCCACACTGTGGCAACGGGGGTCTTAACCACTTGAAGGGAATTGGGCTGCCTGGTGTCAGCGTGGACCATGCTCCAAACAGTGGGCACCACAGCTGAATTCCTCTGTGAACTGCTACTAATACTGCTACTGCTGCTGGTGCTGCTCATAGAGGAGGGCTGCAGAGGAGCTGTGAGGTGGGAAGTGAGGCCCAGAAGAGGTGTGATCGGCGATGTTGACGGGGCCGAAGCAGCAGTTGAAGCTGGATCAGGAGGCAACACTGAGGCTGCAACTGTGACTGCAGAGGACACCGAGATTGAAGCAGGCAGTGGGTTTGAAACCGTTACTGATATCAGGGTGGGTTTGTGGACTGGCAGGTGAAGTGGGACTCCTCTAGAAGCTGAGTGAGATCCCGAAGAAGGAACAGCCGCAACAAGCGCTACAGTTGAGGATGAATCCTGGCTTGCAGCGGAGACAGAGGTGGAACTTGTGCCTGGCAGTAAGATTGGTGATGGCACTGAGACTGGCCTTGCAGCTGGCACTGACGCATTTGATGTAGTGGGCAGTGGAGATGGAACTGAACTTGAGGCTGAAGCTGATGATGGAGCTGGTGTGATGACTGGAGCAGCAGCTTGTTTCTGAGAAGTAGGCTGTCCTAGGACTAAGGCTGAAACTGGCACCAAGGTTGGCAGATGGGCTTGGATGAGTTGAGGCTGGATCGGGCTGGATGCTCTGGCAGCGTCCTTCTCCAAGGAGCTCCAGATGACTTTACTCACTGGGAGAGATGATATCCTCTGGGCTGCGAGCAAGACTGGAGCCGACACTGCTACAGAGGCTGCTGAAGACACAGACCCCTTGACTGAAGTTACAGCTGGCACTGGAACAGCCATAGCCTTCTCCATCAAACTCTGCACCCTGGAGGGATCCATGACTTGCTGGCTATCCTCTGGAGGAGGGGTAGGGCCCATGTCACTGCTGTAACCACTGCACTGTGCCTCTACTGGCTCAACCTTAATGGTCTCTGTGGCTTTGTCTTGGCTCTCCTTTAATCTTTTCATGTTTTCCTGCTCTGCAGCCCTCTGCAGAGCCGCATCTACCAGGAGCCTCAAGTCACTGAAGTCCTGGCCGGGCATAAGCTCTGGAGGAGTCGGGGGAGGCGTGTTGAAGAGGCCGCTGGTGGGGCTAGCTGCTATTGTGGTGCTGGTGAGACAAGCCGACTGAGCCGCCTGTTCCTCTGCTTCCCTTAGTAGACTTTGTGTATCCAGCTTCATCAGCGCCTGGACTGACCCTTCTTTACCAGGGTAGCCTGCGCCTGTCAGAATAGCTGTTGCTGTGTTCCCAAGAAGGCTGAGGTCCAGAGTAGGGGCAGAGTGAATGACAGATGCGCGCTGTTGAGATGAGTTGTGAGGAGAGCTGCTTTCTGGAGAGCTGGCTCTGCCTCCATTAGACGAGTGCCCTTCATTTCTACCACCAACCTTACGAGAGATGGTGAACTTGGTGGGATCTTTGCCATCCTTGCGAAGCAGGTCAGGAAGCAGGCGGCGACGTGCATTGATGAACCAGTTACATATCTGGGAAAAGAGAAGGAATTTCTGGCATGAATACACCTAATACTGTCTGTTTACATGGGTGTTTTACTGGAAATCAAAATGAGAAAATAGAAAAGTTGGAACACAGAGTCCCCTAGTAGCTCCGTGTTCTGGTCACAGCACATGCCACATGACTGCAACGCCCCTGTTTTGATTGCAGCCAAGGACCTGTACTGCATCTCAAACGCACTCCTTCACCCCACATTTCCTGCCTATCACTTTCAATTATCCAATAAAAAGGCCAAACATTCCATAAAACATAATCTTGCTCTCTAAAAAAAGAACAGGGGAAAACTGAAGCTGCTCTGACATTTTCTGAGGCACTGATATCACTGTACGATGCTACAAAGGTTTATTTCAGACCTGACAACGTCAGACACACTCAATTAGCCGGATGAATAACTCAACCCTTGCATCACATTTAAAGATCTAAAATTATCTGAGACCTTTGATTTTAATAACCACCTTTCTTCATCTACATCTGCACCGGGGGCCTGACTAACCCCCTCTAGTGGTTCAGCCTCCCACGCAAGAGTGAGACAGAGATGAGAGCCCTCAGACAGCTGGCAATAATGAAGGTCTGAGCTCAAATATGCTGAGCCACAGAGAAGCCAGCCAAAGGCATTCCAGTGAACTGACTACATAACAAGAAACTCTGCTGCCGCCTCATGCTGATCTGTAATGCCTTATCTAATGCAGCCTGTCTGTGCGTGCCTGTGGGGTAAAGGAAAGAGGAAATGTCTACTACTGATGCAACAAAGTGAAAAGGGAAGGCTGGGAAAGTGTTATTCTCAGTCGTGCAATGTGGTGCTACCATCTGATTAGTGTTTTGCTTTCACTTGTTCACAATAACTGCCTGAACGGCTGGTGACAAAGCATGAAAGTGTTGTCAAAATTGTGTTTGTACATTTTGTCCACCAAACAAACTTGCTTATCATCAGGTTAGGTACATTTCCACCTCTAAACAGAGTACATAAGACACAACACTATGTACCAAGAATCAAAAGAGCGTAGAGAAACAAAAAAGGAATGACTAAAAACTCATCCCTTACCTGCAGCACAGAGAGGTTGGTCTGGCCCGACAGACTGAGTTTCTCCTGCTCCGACGGGTAAGCGTTGAAGCGGTGCTCGTACAGCCAGCTCCGAAGAATCTGAACCGCTTCTTTGGGCAGGTTGCCGCGGCGACGGCGCTTCCCAAAGAGCCCTCTTCCTGACAGGTCGAGAGGGGAGCCGTCATCGCTGTCCGACACAGCCGAGGAGTGCTCCTGCTCCGGGCGACGCTCTTCGTCCAGAGCTGAGAAAGAGAAGACAAGGCTGTCAGTCATGTTCACAGTCACACATCCGAGTGTGTTACTCCTCCGATAATGTCATTTGGTATGCTGTTGTCTTTTTGTGTGTCACTGCTTTGGCATACATTCAGCATACTAAGAGTTATTCTTTTATTATGGGCTACACGCTCACACACAGATTTTTTTCTTGCTGCAGAACAGGGTTTGGTTTGATCCACTTTCAGGCACAAAATGAAACCTAAACTATTTCTCCACAATAGCAGACACCTTGTAAGCAGAGACGGCGGTTTGCACTGATCCAGCACTTAGCAGTGAACAAGTGCAAAAACCTTTTTCAGTCACTTTTAACCTCTATTTTTAAACCACATTTGTGTGGCTCATACAAGCTTTGCCAAAAGAACATATTTAAACAATAGCTGTGTGGTTTGAACTTTGTTGTGTGTGTGTGTGTGTTTTTTTTAAATCCATGGTTGGCCACTGGAGGGAATCTCCCCTCAAAATGGAGCATGCCTGATCCCAGGGGTGGGCCACAGAATGCAGTAAATGTCTTTCTCTGGGGCTGGGTGAAACCTGACCCCCGGGGCAGCGCCTGTCTTCACAAAGGAGATTGTGTGCATATCAACATCACAGTAGCCAGTGGCCCAGGAATCTATTGACCATGCAAAGGAGGCCGTTTTCACCTCATGCTAGTACGACCCAAGACTGCTGCAGCAGTTGACGAAATCTTTTGAATTCCGCATTCCTGGACAACGAGGGATGTGCTTGACCAATTGAAAAATGATTGGAGGGGAGATTAAAAACATACAAATGCAAATTGAACAATCAGTGTATCTCTCCACCCAGCTCTGTTAAAGTAGATGGGTTTCTCCACCACCTAAATTCATCAGGCTACTGCAGGGCTGGACCTTGATGAATATCAATAGGTCGCAATCTGTAATTCCAAACAGAATCCTACAGTTGCATGTAATGTGACTGTAATATGCTGTGAATCAAAAGTAGAATTTGGTCATGTAAATTAACACTGCTTTGATTTTTAATGTGAATGTGCACACATTTGCTCCCAAAAAACAATCCTAATTTTTTTTTTTTTTTTAAAATCACTGTGTTGACTTAACACCACCCAGCTCAACAACTTTTAGGCCAAAACCTTTACAATAGGCCTAATTTGGTCTCACAAAAACTGGAGTTCTTGCTTGACAGACATTTCAGGTTATCTCTGCAGCGTGATACCACAACAAAACTCACACAACTCCACACTGCTTCGTTACATTGATACTGAAGATTTGCCACAAAACTAAATAAGTAAAATTCAACGTGTGTTTGATTTTGGCAGAATTGTAGTCACATTTGAGCTAAAGTCAGAATACCACATGAGCAACATCTCCCAGGCTGTCAAACTGACCAACTGCTTGTTTACAAAATGTCTCCTCCACCTATGCAAGTTGGCAAATCTGCACACATTTATTGGAAAGTCTTTAAAAAAATGAAGCAATAGTTAGAATAACGCTAGAAAGAAATAGCACGCTAAACTTCTCAACACTCTCATGCAGCTTTCAGAGGTGAAAATTTGAATGTGGCCGTTAGTAACACCAGTCCACGAAGTTACAAATCAAACATCAACTTTCCCAAAGCAGCTCTCTTTGTCCGAGCGAAATAACATAG